CAGTTCCACACAGCCTCGTCCAATATGTGCATATGTTGGTTTGACCTGAATGATTTCCTGGAGTGAGGGCTCCAAACATACACACACTTCGTCTTCTTCTTCTTCTTTTATTATTTTATTCACACAAAAAGCTAAGACGTGGTCAACGCTTGCAGTGTGTTTGTGTCGGAGTGTGTGGTCACAAAGTCCTCACACCAGCACAGAGATAATTACCAAGTCTTTACGCTGCGAGGAGCTCTTGTTTTTTTTTTTTTTTTGATGTACACCAATTTCTAATTATGCTCTGAAGGGGAAGTTAAGGCCTGTTTTTCATAACTCACGTTTTGCTTACAAAGTGTAAAGACTTGCTATCCTCCAGCGCCCACTCACCACATTATCGTTAAACTTCCTTGTTGTAAAGTGATAGTTTAAAGTTTAAAAAAAAAAACCCTACCTTTAAGATAAGCTTAGGTTGTGCTGCTCAAGCTATGAGCACATTTCTCTCCAGCAGAGTGAGAAAAAAAGCTGCGCAGGAAAACAGATTTCTTTTATTTTTATATGGGTACACTTTCGGGAAGGCTGTCAGCCACTATCGCTCTCAGCTTTGGCACAGATGCTTTTTTTAAGCGATCGGGGGAGTGAATTTTTTTTTTTTTAATTTAGTGCCACATTTGGTGAAAGTGGTTGAATTTAACGTTGCTCATGAAATTGGATAATCAAATGTGATATGCAGAGAAAACAGGCTGCGGCTCCCACACAAACAAACACACACGCACACGCGCACACGCACGCACACGCACGCACACGCACACACACACGCACACACACACACACACACACACACACACACACACACACACACAGACAAACACACTTCCTGCTGTGATGCATGAGTGTCTCACAGTATGGAAGGAGCATGATAATGAGTCAGTCTCATGTTTTTTTTAGTTTAAAGTGTTGCTTGCCTGCAGAGGTCAGGTCAGGTCTGCATGAGGACTATTAACATTTACATTAATATGTGAACAAGTTCAAGGCCTGCTTGTGTATGTGCAGGTATCCTATTACATTGTTAGAGTTTTTTCTTTTTTAAACATTCAACTAAAAAAAAAAACTATTTTCTGTTCATTACAGAAAGGTTTGATGTACCTTTAGTTCAGCTTTTACAATTCATTGAGATTTCCTACATTTCCCAGACTGCCATTCATTAACCACCAAGAACATGGCGTGGACGCATAAAATATCCCAATGCCTACCAACCAATATCATTGGCTGCTTCTATTACAGCTCATTTTGCGAGAAAACAAAACCATAAAGTAACACCTGATTTTACTTCTGTTTTGAATCTACACCGTGGATACTGGTAAACGGAAGTTTATTCCAAAAATAATATTTAACTGTGTACAAAGATAGCATATGGATGAGCAATTTAAATGATAAAATCACTAATTTGATCATGCTTTGAGAGACAGTCCATCTATTCCAATCTGCATACTTTGTCAACATTAAATGCACAGGGCCCTTTAACTGAGAGCTGCCTCTATTGGTCAGAATGTGAAGCTACACCGGGCTACTAAAACGGACTGCAGGGCCTTAAACTGGAATGGGCCTTTATTTGAAGTTTTACGGTAAGTCAAGATGTATTGTAAATTATAGAAAAAGTAAGTTAGAGTTAGATCATTTGTGATGCAACATGAACTCATCATTGATAAAGAATCTGTACCCGTTAGCGTCTTCGCACCGAGTTTGTAATGTTATTCCTTATATGCTTATCGGGACTGTCTATAAAAAGGAAGTTTAACGCCACTTATATTGCACTGCATGACATCATCGTCTTTTGTTTTGCTTTTTAAATGTGCTCTTGCCTTTGGAGTAATGTGTCCCTAGAGAGTTACCGTAGCTGCTGTAGAGCAGTTGTTGTTGTTGTGTAATCCGGCTCACTGTGCACGTGTGTGTGTGTTGATTGAAGCCGTGGCCTGAGAGATCACACCTCTGTGCACCGTTTAATATTCAATGAGGCAAATCTAGTAAGCTTGGTTACACATGTAACAAGAACTAAGTTGAACTATTACAGCCTATAACCAAGCAGCAACCTCTGGTCTTGAAAAATAAAGCAAATGCAGGAGTGCTAATTCCTGCAGTTCGTCGAGTGTCCACTTGAGGCTGGCTCCAGGAACACCGGAAATCACACCACAGGCAAAAAAGCTGTTTTTACAGCATAAATAAACATGTTTACAGCCTGGTACAAAACCTGAAATTGATCTGATTAGTTATTGTCATAATAGGCACACACTGCATGGAAGGTGAATATTTCAAAAACAGCTGACATGATTGACAGGTGTAAAGGTTTGTCAAGAGGCTTAAACCCCGCCTCAGCTCCAGCTCTCAGCCTGTTGTTAGGTTGACTGAAAGTTAGACTGAGACAACATTTCAGTCATGACGGCTGCTGCTGATGAACCTCCAGAGCCCCCTGCAGTAACAGATGGCTGTGCCTATAACAAGGGCACGCAGTTGCACAAGCACTGATACATTACTTGAGTAATAACGTCAACAATGACTACTCGTACCAATTCCTAAATCAAATGTGAATTCATTTGATCAGATTGCAATGAAGTTCGTGTGAAATATCCAACACAGAGAAGTCTGCCCTCTCAGTGGAGTCACACAGCCTGGTTCAGAGGTTTCATCACAACACGGAGACGTCTAACAATCACAGCAAAGCACCGGCATGTGTGTGCTCAGTATACTGAGTGTGGACATCAGCCGATGAAGAACTCAGTCTTCTGACAGAGAAGGGTTTTAATTCTTGGTGTTTATATTTCTGAGAGAAACGAGGACAACAGTCGTGTGCAAGAATGTGCAGCAGCAGCATCAGCACAGCGAGAGGAGCTCAGTCAGCCTGAGACTTATCAGTGTGTCTCACCAGCAGCTCTCTCCCATTCACAGCATGCCTTTCCTGTCACACAGAAATATCTGTCTTCATAACAAAAAGTGAAAGAAAAAAAACACATTAACTTCCTTTTACTGCATATAAGAGATTTTCTTTAGTAACGTTAGTAACCTTCAGAGCGCTGGAATTATCGGCTTCATGTTGAGAAACATAAAGAATCATTGTAGAGATATTCTCACTTAGCTCGGAAACTTTTACATGATATTGCTGGTCTCAATAAATAAAATAAAGCTGCATGTGTCTCCACTGTTAGGGTAATTAATTTGTTTCACTGTCATCATTTTCTCATTGAATCTTCAGCAGGATGACGCTGAGTATTGTGGGCTCAACATCCAGCTGACAGTCATCACACTCTCTTCTCTCTTCATACTGACAACAAAAACAGAGAGAATACTCTTTAACAATATGCTGATTACTACAAAGAGTTTAAATAATATCAGGAGGTAGTTCCAGATTCGTGGTGTTGTTTTTCTTTTCCAAAAGGTTGTGGTCCAACACATAACTTATTCAAAAGGAAAGGTTATTTATTGCCAGGAAAAGGGAAACAAGATTTACATTTTGGAAATTGAAATCTGGATTTTGACATTCTTCCTACTCTAGTGTAGATTTTCTTTTTCTGATACTGAGTCTTTCTGTGTTTTGGACACGCAGACTTTAATCTCAAAACAAGAACAGAAATCAGGTCTCGCCTCTGAACTTTGTCTTGTTGCCTTGTACATGAAACAAATCTAAATATTATAAACATTTTAACATAATTCTTAAAATGCAAAAATAAAAATCATCCTTCTCTGCTCTTTGTCTTCCTCGAGCCTAAACACTTTACCCATGGTTAAAAGCACCTGAATGACCTCATTAAGAAACACATTTAACTGGCTTTACATGTTTAAACGATGTCACATATAGAAAATGTTTTTTACACTATTATCTAAAGTAATTAAAAATGAACTCAACCTATGTTATATACTGTATATATGTTTGTTGTTGAATTCTTATAAATATTTCCAACAGTTATCAAAGCCAGAGACGGCCTGCGTCTTTCGTGACAGCTGCCATGTTTATCGTTGCCATGGTAACATCAGGTTTTAGGTCAAAGACCGCTTCATAACGAAGTGGATACTGCTGCAGAAAGCTCCTGTTGCTGTATGTGCTGCTGTGATAAAAACGTCATGTGAGTTATACTCGGACACATCGTCAGTAAACACATTTCTCTTCCTCAGGTTGATTTCGCCCGTTCATCTTCACAACGCGCAACCTCGGAGTTTGACTTCATTGGAGCGGGGGGAGAACCATTACCGTGATTCCCAGCAAGCCTCAACTTCATCCTTTGTTATTGTTTTGATTTAAAGCTCTAATTTTCATGCTGTGTGTTTAAATAGTGAATACGCCGTCATGGTTTAAAAATGTGAAGATTCTTTGTTTTTCCTCTGATGTTCAGGTATCAGTGCATCAGCAGGGAGAGTATAAGCTTCAATTAAATATATTCAAACTAAAAGATGCCAAAGCCGCACCCCCCCTCCACCCCCCTAAACACATGATGATGCTCTGCCTCGTAACCTGCGACTGAACGGCAACGTTGGAAGTAACTGCTCACACCCCCCCCCCCTCTCAGCTGTCCTGGTGTTTAGCTTGCTAGCTTTAGCATGTGGAGGATGAAAGTGCAGTGAGCACACAGGCTGAGTATGTGCAGGTATGTAGGAGGGCAGACACGCACAGAAGCCATCCCATCATTTCATTTTGTCCAAATATCAAATAAGGTAGACGTATTACAAACCTGCAAGAGCTACAGCTAGGCTGGCAGATTTTTTGTGAAAAGGATTTCATCAAATATACCAAAAAAAAAAAACTTTTCCAAAAGAATTAGCCTGTTGTCATCATAGGATCATAAACATGACGGAAAGATTAATTAGATTGCCATCAATGTCCACACAGAACTAATCGTCACACACGCGCACACACACACACATTCAAACACAACATGCAATAGAGGCCATTACCCCCGGACTTTCTGTTTCAGGTCACATCATTCACACCTGATCGTGGTCAGCTTCAGCAGTAAGGCACATGGCACTCAGAGGATATTTTAACCTGTGTTTAATCTCAGATTTTCAAAAAAAAAAGGAATTTTTTACAATCCTTCTAACAGTGACTCTTGTACAACAACATAAATACTGTGCTGGAAAAAACAAATTTCCAAAAATTAAGCAGTTTTTTTCCCCTCCGCAGTCTCTTTCTGTAAACATTGAAAAATGCAAATCAAGTCTCCTCAGTTCTCGACAAGACAACAACATCAAAATAACAACAACTGTTCCATCCGTAAGGCTCGCCGCCTCACTATGCAAATAGTCTCTAATGGGCTCAGAGAGAATTTTCTTTTTTTTACCGTTACCTTCTTTTTACTAATCCGTTTAATGTTGGAAGGAGTCAACAGTGCTCAGTTTAAGATCCAGAGGTGGGGGAGGGGGAGGATGGAGGGGGGGTTATCAATCAGAAGAGGCTGGTCAGGGTGGTCTGTGATGGACTCCGGCACTCGTGGACGTCCATGCCGCCCGGCACTGAGGTAAGCACGGAGGTGACGGTGGGCATGGTGGGGTTGGTTAAGTCTGTCAGGGTGGTGGGGGTGCTGGAGGGACTCATGGAGGCGTTGGAAATCTCCGACGCGGGACCCGACGGCGTCCCGCCCTGCAGCGTGGAGCCGTCAGACGCCTTGTCCACCCCCGTGCTCTCTTGCCGCAGAAGGTTCCTCCTGAACTTGGCCCGAGCGTTTTGGAACCAGACCTACAGAAAAAAAAAAGAATCCAGTTCATACAGGTGTTGTACACGACTAGGGGGGGGGACACAGGACGTTAACACAGGACACCAGGGTGAGAGCCATGTGACACACTTCAACACATCATGTACAGTAAGGATGCTGTGGGTGCTGGGACCACACAGAGGATTATGCACAGACATTTGTGCTTACATTTACCCAAGACATGACTTAAACCATGGTTGGAAAAGTGCAGATTTTTTTTAAATGCTAAAAATGATTTTTATATGAACATATTAGTAAAACAGATGTGGTGCTAACAACACAGTAACCATACATACAACATTTTCACCCAGAAGAACGGAGTTTAAGTCCTCTGTGTAACACAAATGCAACGCTAGTTTCAACATATAACTCGTTTTTTTGGAAACCTAAAGTACTTTTTTTGTCTTAACTTAACCAATCAGAGCATTTCACATGAAGTTTGAGTTAGAGAGGAAGAGACGAGACCTAAAGACGACGAGGATCGATATTTGACGAGCAGAGAGGTGAGACAAAGATGAATGATTATGCAAAAATCGTCAGTCTTTAAACACTGATTGATGGATAGTTTGGTATATTTGATAAATGTAATAGTTCTGATATTATTGTGTTAGATAGTGTATTAAGAAACTCCACAAACTAAAACACAGTCATCTCCATGAAAGCATTCGTAAAGGATAAACACATCTTGTCATACTGATCTTATTTTGATTGATCTGTAAAGGTTATGATTCCGTCTCCACCGTGTGTGATGCTTACTGCAATAACATTCAGCCTCTTAAGAAATGCTGCAGCAGCATCTCTGTCCACAAACTGTGTCTCTGTATCTGCATGACAAGCCGCAGAGTCTCTCAGGGATTATTTCTGTAGCAGAAAGTAGATCTACACTACACATCAAGGTCTGAGGAGTATCAGGAGTAACCAGGACACTTCTGAAAGACATGTCTGTGTTTAATTATATTAACCAAAGTTTTTGAGAGTAAATTCTAGAGAAGAACATACTGATGAACAAAAGACTCATAAAGCAGCTTCATTACTTGGATGGAAATTGCATCGGTCGTAAATATGCATACAGTCTGTGGTCGTGTGTCGCTCACAGGACACGATGGTCACAAATGTTCTGAATATTTCCTGCTGCGTTCTCATATCAGCTCACCTCCACTCCAGGTGACAAATATTACCAGGGGGCTGGCAGAAATTTCAGATAAAGTGGGAGGTGAAAATTCAGTGTTCACACATGCAACTCCGACCAAAAACTTCAGGAAGTTTTCAGGAGTTTTGTTCAAGTGTGAAAGCAGTAATAGAGAAATGTAATTTGTCATAGAGACACAGAACATCGTCATCTTTGCAGCATGCTATAACAATGCACGTACAACCAGATTAACGATAAAAGAACTGACTGTGATGAAAGCAAAATACTGCTTTTGTCACTTTCATCAAATAAACTGAGTCTTATGGACTTCTAAAAGTGGGGAAAATAAAGTTTCAGATTGAAACCGAGAGTCTGCCCTCACAGACTTCAGTCCTACGTACTGTGACAGAGCCATCATCTTGTAAAATCTAAGTCTAAGCATCTCATCTGATTTACAATGAAGTGTGAATAATACAACAAGATAGATACTTCAAGCAAGCCCAAATGACGGATCTACGATCTACTATGTTTTGTTTTGGTGGTAAAGATACTGAGGAGAGTCTTTCACAGAATACTGAAAGAATGACATGCTTAAATAACATGTATCTTCATGTGTGTTTATCTGACAGTGACATTTAATTGACATATCAGGAGCAAACAGTGAAGTTGGGAACATTTTAACCCTGACCAGGGTCTCTTGAAGCAAAAGCTCTACTGCTTACATGCAACCTAAAAGAGGTCACTAATAGTGATGAACAGGCTGAACAAGATCTGCAGTTTCCTCCCAGCTTTACAGAGTATCTTTATTAATGTTTACACTGAAAATACTCCTAAAAACATGTTCACTACAGGCTGAGCATCAAGCAGCAGACAGAAGGAAGCGACTGACTGGTGAACACAGAGGAGCATTCAGCAGCTAAACAACCACATATCACGATTTCTTAGAGGTGTGTATAGAGATGCCATTATCTGTCTCTGAATTCTGAGAAACAGGAAGTAGGCAAGTCATGATAAATAAGGAGAAATGATTGAACATGTTTTAATTATGACATGTATTTTACATTTCCCGCTGTACTCTTCATCTCTCTCATAAGTTATTGTTGCATCCATGAGTAACACGTCCACCTTTGTTGGAGAACAAACCAGAGCTAAAACCAGAGTCAAATTTGGATTTACAATTAGCAAGTCAATCGAAACACATGTTAGAATACATGCTGATGTCTCTCAGTGTATGCTAAATGTGATAATAGAGAACCATGTAATGAATCTGTATAATATGTCCAATGTCTGCCTCACTTGAAGCTTCATATTTCAAACTAAATCCTCATGTTTCAAGACATTTTTTCATGTCTCAAGTTAACCACACTTTAACCCAGGCTGTTAGCATAGACAATATAAAAGATGGACGTTGTCTCAGTGACGTCATCTATTTTTTTCTGAAGCAGAATTTTGAAGCTCATCGATGGCAGCCTCCATGTCATCAAACTTTCTGTTAACATAGAGACAGGCAAGACCGTGATGCTGAGGCAGATTTTTATCCTCCTGGCTAACAGCTACGGCTACAGCTAACTCAGCCAAGCCACTAATTATACACAACTCTTATCCTTAAAATCAAAACAGACAAATTATTAACAAATCCACCCTCTCTACAGAGTGTGTTAGAACAGACATGAGCTATTCAGACAAGAACAGGGTTTTGTACCAGGATGTAAACATGTTAATTCCTGCTGTCAAAGTGGGCTTTTTAATTTGTGTGTTTATGCAGCCAGCCTCAAGTGGACACACAAAGAACTGCAGTTTTTTTTGCACTTCCGATTTGGCTTCATTTATCATCAAAGAGGTTGCCACTTTGCTGATACATCTTAATCATCCTTTATCTGAATGATTTTTAGAACCACACTCTGACATCCTGCTGTTTATAAAGACAATCAGAAACCATGTTCTGTCGACACGTTTGCATAGAAAAGACGATATTTGCCTAAAAGAATACTCGTAAATGTTTAATTTTTCCGACCAACAAGCACGCTCACATTATCTCCACCACAGCAGTGAGCTTCTCCTCGACTGTTTCGAGTGTGTTTGCAGAAGCTCCGGTTGGAGTCGAGGATGAAAGCAGAGTTAAAGACACAAAGTGAGGGAGCTCCAGCACTGTGTGCTGAAGCCTTTTACTGTTGAAGGCTGGTCAAAAGACAGTGGTTGTCGAAGAAAAATGAAATATGTATTATGCGTTTGCACATAATTACAGGGAGCCTCCTGTTTTTGTTGATACTGTGAAAAGATAATGATGGACCTGTCTTTGGTCTGGAGACGGAACAGCAGCTGACTGATGTTTCGCAGTCATTATTTTTATTTTTTAAGTCGAATTAAAAGTGTCTTCCTCATTTTGCAAAGAACCAGAGATCTGGTTCATCAAGGTCCTGCACCCCTACTTTGGAGCTATCGTGCTCCTCAGTGTCCCTGATCTTAATTTGTTTTCACATTTGAGTTTGAATTTTTTTCAATCTTGATCTTTGCTCTTCTTCTCAGTACTAGAAAAAGCAGGATCTGAGCTGTGGTGAGCGAGGCGACGGTCTGTGCCGAGCCGAGTGTTGGAGCGTGTTAGCGATGGAATCATGACGGAGCCATGGGAACAGGCGGAGGGAGAAGCGCTTCAGCTGGAATAACAGGCATGAAAACTCGAACGCATCAAAGCAAAACGACTGCTTTGTTTTCTGCGAGCGTTAATTAAAGCAGCGGGATGATTTTTCCTTTTTTTTTTCCTCCATCTCATAAAAAAAAAATTTGATTCAGAAACCTTTTTGTCTCATTTTTCTTCTTCTCAGTCCCCCAGATAATTTGCTGTCGTCTTTTGTGAAATCAAACGCTCTGTTGTGCTTTCTCTTTCTGCGCGTGTAACTACAGAGCGTTGTGTTTTTCATCCTTCAGTCTTCAACAGAAAACACATTACATTTAGTGTTTCATGGCTTTCCTTTCATTTTCATGTAATTCTACATTCCAGTATGAACACGTTTATTCACTTTTAACAGCGTGTTCTTCCTATACAGGAAGTTAGAAACAGTATGTACCTTTTGAAAATGAATTTCTCACATTTTGAGTTTGTTTTCATTTAAATGAGAATAAAAGAGAAAAATCATTTTGCTCAGCTTGTTCGCAGTTTCCTGAAAACCCTCCAAGAGTTTCAGTCAAAGGAAAAAAACAGCCCAATGTAGAAACAAAGAAAGCAGATTTGGCTTCCATCAGGAAAACCTCACTTCATTTATTGATACTTGGACGCAGGCTGATTTGCATTGGAAAGAGGAAACAATATTTCGCCCTTGCTGGCGTTGGTCTGTGTGTCATCTGAAGCTAGAAGGCGGCTGTGGTTACCTGTAGCACCCGCTTGGTGAGGCCCGTCTTCTGGGCGAGCTGCTTGAGGTCCTTGGCGTCTGGGTTGTGGTTGATGGCGAAGTAGGACTTCATGGTCCGGAGCTGGTGGTGCTTGAAGGACGTCCGCATGCGCTTCGTCTTCTGACTGGAGCTGTACTGGGAGTCCCGGTCCATGGACTCGCCGTCGTTCTCGTTGCAGCTCAGAGCTGCTGGCCGACAGAGGAGAAGAAGATCCGGTTAGATCCAATCACTCATCAGAAGTTTTTTTTACATCTTAACAGGCCTCGCTTCTCTTTCAGAGCCCGTTCAGGTCCATCGTCATGACAATCAAAGAAGCAGCTGACAATGCATTCAACCAAACCCAGAGAGTGAACTCATTTGATAAGAAAAATAAAAGTAAGATGTAACATCTTTGAGATGGAAAGAACAACGTTTACAAAAAGTTATGACATATTAAATGATGTTTCTACCTTCTGTAAACCTTATGTTTCATGGTTAGCATACTTCTATTTGTCATTTGTGTTTCTCTCTCTTTTTTTAAAATTTCTTTGCCTCCCTTGTCCTGCCAAGTTTGTAACATGTTCATGTTCATGTTATCTTGTGTGTGAAGTCGCTTCACATATTTGTACTTGTTTGTACTTCTCCATGTTTTTCAAACAATAAAAAAAGTATTTAAAAATGAATGTCTGAAACTGTATATCAAGGAATCAAGTACGAGACGCACACAAGCGAGAAGAAATCCCTACTGAGAGAAAGAAAGAAAGAAAGACAAAGAAAAAAAGAAAGAAAGAATGAAAGAAAGAAAGAAAGAAAGAATGAATGACAGACTTTTAAGGTGACTGAGGTTGAAAATGTGTAATCTTTTATCTGGGTACAATCAAATAAAGCTAAGGTGACGCTGTGACCTGCCAGCTGTTTTCTTCCAGCTGCAGATCATCCTCTTCTCTGCCTGCCTGTCTGTCTCTCTTGTCTGTCTCACTGCCTGTCCCTGTCTGCACGTTCTTTCTGTCCTTGGAGGAGGTGCTAGCCTGGCTTCAGAAAATACCCCACAAAAAACACATGTATTTATCTCAGCCTGCAAATTTCTTGGCAACATCTAAAGTGTTGCTGCATGCATAACAGTTCGTGTTCAATATCCGCGCGCTGCAAATGATGAATATGAAGTGAGTGAAAAGCACCAGAATAACACTTCACTTAATTAGCCGATACACACCAGGCAGAACAAATGCTGCTTTCTGTCCAGAGCATATGCTGCAGCGTTTTTTTACAGAAAGCAGCCTGCCTTCCTGCTCGTCTCCTCCTCATCCATCACACCACCGCGTCTTATTCACGTCCATGCTAATGACATCTGAGAGCTGCAGGCTGCTCTGGGTCGCCACATGTTCTCGTGTGTGTGTGTGTGTGAGTTCAGGTGAAGCTTTGACTGCTGTTTCAGGCCGGAAACAGAAGAGGGCGCACTGCCTCTTCACTCTCCTCTGAACCTGACTCTGCCTCACATTCGTTTCCTTCTCTTTATTAGTCACCCTGCACGAAAGGACTTCTCTAAAGCACGTTATCAAAAGGTTCACACTGAAAATGGGCTTCATGTCTTATGACTCGCTTTGGTTTAAATTTCAGATTGTGCATCTTAAAAGCAGAGTCTGCACTATAGGGGTCAAAACTCTTGTTTTGAAAGCAGACTCACTTTTATCAGGAATAAGTTTTGACTTTTTAAAAGGTGGCAGCATCTTAAAAATAAAGAAAGAGATGCATCATCTTTGAGAGAAGAGTCAAAAGAAAAGAAAAGAAAAGAGAAGAAAAGAGAAGATTAGAGAAGCATAGTAAAGAGGAGAATACAATGATCTCAACCTGCAGCAGCTTATTTGAAGCACACAGTTATGGAAAAGTTTTGAGAGATTAGATTTAAAAAAAGTGAACAATAGAAAATCATGACAGAAATGCTGTGATTCTGTATCTGAGGCAAGTCCTTGATTCTGACTTAATACTTATTTTGTAAGCTGTTTTATGATCAGAGGGTTAATTAACTTAAGTCAGAGCATTAAAAACACAGAGCTGTGCTGTAAGAGACTTCTTGTATTCCCTGCTCCCTCTTCCAGTGAATAACTCATCAAATCACATTGATCTCTGGTACACACCCCGTTTGGCCCAGTCCCAATGCAAAAAGTCTCCAGCAGTGTGTGCATGTGTGTGTGTGTGTGTGTGTGTGTGTGTGTGTGTGTGTGTGTGTGTGTGTAGTGTGTGTAGTGTGTGTAGTGTGTGTAGTGTGTGTGGGGTTTGGGGAGGGTGGGGGTGGGGGTGTTAGGATCTGTAGATGTCTATGGAGCCTGACAAGTGGAAAAGGGCGAAAGCAAAAACCGGAACATCAAAAAAACTTTTCTTTTTTATCCCCCAGAAGAACATGCAGAGAAAAAAAAGTGTTGCTTTTTTTTTTTAAAGTAATCCAGACTAACTAAAACTAAAGTATGATTAAAATAGTTATTTTTTTGTATTTTGTTATGATTTATAAATTCTCAGATAGAAGCATGGCTGAGTTAAAATGTGTTCAGTGCTGCAGCTCGTTGACCTCGTGTAATCTGAAGCTGCAGGAAAAGTTTAATCCACACAAAAATGCACGACACCAGACTCTGGAGAGAAAGTGTTCACAACATGAAGTTGGAGGCCTGACTGCACTGACTTATCTCCCACTGATGATATTTAATAATTACTTATCTAATGAGGGGGAAGGATGTTTGTTAAGTGACGTTTTTCTCCCTTATGAATGCAAACATTGTTATGCTTCTGTTATGTCTGCTGTAAATCTTTCTCTTCTTACAGATTATGAAACACCAAAATAATGCTGACTGTCCCAAAAACAGGATAGACTCATAATGAACACATCTAACCTCCAACAGGTCGGTTGTTTAATTTAATACAATCACAGTGATGCAAAAGTGATTTTCTAAACTTCAACATTAAGAACAATTCTGTGCTCCCAGCGGACACACTGTATGTGAGGCAAAGTTAACAGTGGTAGATCAAGAAATAAGGCCCTGCAGGAATGTTTTTCATAAATGAAGCCTGTCAGTCTTAATCAGCTCGTTTTCACGCTGTGTGGTTACAACTCAGGAGAGACTTTTACAAGGTCCCCATTTTTATTATTTCACTTTTTTCCACTTTTTTTTTCTTTTACGTATTTAAAATGAATGTTTTGAAGTGAAATTAAAAAATAAAAATAAAAAACATGATCTGCGTCTATCCTTTTTGTAAAAGCACTTACTTTTCCATTTTTCCATTTATAAACAACATTCGTATCAATACGTTTCCATTCTTGTTTTAAGCATTTTTAAAGTCGTTCTTACCCGCATTATAAGCCGCCAGCTCGGCTCCCGGACCCGGGCTCTTCCGCTTCCTGGGCCGGCCTTTCTGCACTGTCCCCACGCCGTTGAAGTAGGATAGTCCGAGTGTGTTGGCCGGGCCCAGGCCTTTGTGTGGGACTACGTCCGCGTGGTTAAAGTGTGTCTGATATTCTCCCTGGATGAGAGTCTCAAAGTGCAGCCGACAGTAGACCAGACTGTCCTTCATGCCGAAGTGGTCCCCGGTGGTCAGCATCTTGCTGCAGGTGGTGCAGGTGAAGCAGTTAAGATGGTAGACCAGGTCCCGGGCCCGCATCACCATCTCCGAGGCTGAGATCCCCAGGTGGCACCGAGCGCATCTCTGCACCGAAAATCTTCTGCGGACAACACAGAAACGTCATCAGCGGCTGGACGCGGATCCTGACAGGCCTGCAGAGCCACACCGGAGCTACACGGTCTGTGGCGCGTTTTTACGCAAACAGGCAAAACTTTTGCGCACATAAAAACAGAGCAGTTTCCCTCCCACAAACTCTAAAGTTATACAGGCAGCCTGCATAAATTAACCCTGACTGTTTTTAATGAATTATAAATATCTGGCATCATGTAAGGTTTTTTTTTTTAAAAAACAAAATATAACATGGAATTTTAATATTTTTATGTTTCTAATTTAAGAAAAACATGTTTGACAAAAAGCCGAAAATTCGGCTTCGTTGTCAAATAGGGGAAGGGTGAGGAGGGGGTTTGGGGTGGGGGTGAGGGGGGGTCATGCTCCCCTAGAGAGCTGCTAAACCAAAATGTAGCTCTTTTACTAGATTTCAGTGTGACTTTTAAAACCACAGACAATATAAAACAATCCTTTTTTCTCCTTTTCTTTTTCCATTAATCGATTTTCCATTTTCTTTTCTTTAACAACTTCATGTATACTACATTTCTGTTGCTTAGAGAATATATGAATAATATCTGGCCTATAAAATATATATATATATATGTAACACTGATAACAGCTCCAGAAATGAACAGTGATCAGAGCAAAATGTCACCATCGGTGTTTCAATGTTATCAAGTAAGAATTGAAGTAAAGATTTAGCATTTTGCAGAATTATTTTTTAGGCCAATCAGAATATTGAAGTGAAAACATTGCATGATGATTATTTTAGTCCACCTCTGTTCATGATTTTTTACAGATCAATAACAATTTGCCTGGTTTGAATCACATTTTTTTCGGCCTATGAATTTTTAACGTCCACGTTCAATCAGGCTCAAAGCGAACTCTCGAGGCCCTGTGCGCCCTCCTACCTGTAGTAGTCCTCCTTGCAGTAGATGCTGCCGTCCTTGCTGAAGCAGGTGAGCTCAGACTCCAGGTTGAGTTTGCACTCGCAGCACTTGAGGCAGCGCATGTGCCACTGCTTGTCCACGGCCAGCAGGTAGTAACGGTCCGCTATCTTCCTGCCGCAGCCCGCGCACAGAGCCACACGCTCGTTGGTCATACACGGCATGGACTGCAGGTTGAAGAGGAGAGGACACAGAGTCAGGACATGGTGTGGTGGAAGAGAGAGTAATACAAAAAGAAAAAGGATTCTCAAAGACAGGCTGACAGCTTCACATTAAAACCACGAGAGAGGAGAGTAGAGAAGAAAATCCTCGAAAGTCACAGGACGAGACTCCTCGCTTTGCTTTTCACATTATTATAAGATAACGAAAACAGCCTCACACAGCCAGCAGTCACACATGGGAGGGTTATAGAAATGTAATCAAATAGTGTTCCCTTCTCAACAACCACAGACATATTACTCAGGAACATAATAACAACAATAATAATAATAGTCAAATATAAAATATTCACTTCAGTAAAAAGGATGATGCAAACTTCCTCCTTCGACCAAATGTCATGAAATTAAAAACACAACGTAGGCCTGTATTACTGTTGTAGCTACAGCACATTGATTTAGATCATATTTATTCTACACTTCCATAACAGGAAAGTACACAAGGAAAGCTAAGACAGCCTATTTTTATTCCTTTGCGTCATATCAATACCTACATTTTAAAGTTATATTTAAGATGCATTAAAACGCTGTGTGTGTGTGTTTATGAAATTATCATTGTGGAGTTATTTTCGGTGGAGATAAATGTGCTGCAGATTTCCCCCTTATAATAATATCTAATATGCATTTAATATTCAATTACTAGTGTTATTGTAATGTTACTGCACACATACACGTGCATGTGTTTTTTATACACTCATTAACAAGTGGAAAAAAAGAATTAATAATTTCTTCAAAGTAATTTTCTGTTGCTTTTCATTTGAGTTTTATTTTGAAATTACCACTGCACTCTTTAATCAAAGTGTTGATTATATTACATTGAAATATGAAATGTTTATAAGATATTGAATTTAAAAAATAAAAAGTTTTAATAAAATTAGAATAAGAAATATGATCAATGTTTTGCTCTGAGCTGTTTTATTTGTTCTAAACATTTTCTTTTTTATTCAGATGCGCTGGTTTGTCCTCGATTATAACCGTGTTTTGACAGCATGGTTAAGAGCACATTTACGGAAATAATAATACAGATTTTTATGAACAATGCTGACCAGCTTTGTCTCTATAATAATGTGCAGCCTGGTCAGCTCTTGCTTCGTGTTTTTGCAGCTCTGATCGGGAATAAAAATAAGTTTGAGATTAACGATGATTTGGGGGCCTGTTTTGAGGAAGTTTGCCGGCCTTTAATACTGAAGTTATGAACTGGCACATTTGTTAGACAGTCTTTCAGTGTGGATCTTAAATCAAAGAGCTGCATTTTAAAGAGCTCGGAGCTGTGAGAGTGCAGCCACTGTCACATGCTTCCAGGCTGCCACGCTGCCTGCATGCGCTAACAAGCCGACAGGGCCGAATGAGTCTCTCCTACCGTCTCTGATTCCCCCATATCGATGGCTGAGCTGATGGCTGCTGACTCGCTCTTTCCTCTCCGGTCCATTTCTTCCACCACACCGTGCACATCGCCTCCAGGGAGGCCATGGAAGAGCATCGTCGCCGAAGAAGGGATGATATTATAACTGTTCTCTTCGGATCTGCAAGCCAAGATGTCCATCAGAGGCAGCGCAATAGTGCCACTCAAAATTGTCGCTTTTTTATGTTTTCCTTTCTTGCCGTGACAAGTGAGAAATCCAGATCAGGGAGGAAAAAATATGAGGGAAAAATTGGACACGTGTTCTCCACACTACGTCTCATCTGCCAATGGAAACCGTCATCCGAATCTCTGCAGCTCTCATTATTAATAAGCTATGATTAATTCATAAAGATTCCACTTCTCTTACTGGAATCTTTTTTTTCCTCAGGTGTGAAATTATTTCTTAGTTATTACCGAATAATATTTCTATTTTTTCTTTTCCATTTACGGTGAATAAACATACCAACTATGGAAGCCCCGCTGCATGGGTCTCAGCACCGATGCCTCCTCCTTGCCGAAAGTAATATTTCAGGGATTCGACAGTCTGCGAGGCATTGGCTAATTTTTCCTTTTTTTTCTCTACAGAAGAATTAAGAAACTCTGTAGAATTGTCACTGCCAGTGCAGGACAGCAGCGTCTCATCTCACGGTCAGAAAGAAGCAAAAAGATAAGTCCAAAATAGCTGACAAGGGAGCCCGTGAGAGAGGCTTCGTCCCCTCCTCCAGGTTCCACAGTCCAAGTTGATGCTTACAGCAGCAGATTAATGTCGCTCGAACTACTTTTCTCTGCAAAGAAAAGTAGAAAAATAAAAAAACAAACAGCCTTTTCTTTATAAAATCCCGCAGGCCGCCTGGGAGAGGCACTTTTCCTTGACAGTAGCCTGTTTAGTTAATGTTTTGTCTTGTGCCAGGAGGCTGCATGCATGTGCGTAACAGCAGAAGAGGAGGAGTTGGCTTTACGTTGACTGATGATAGGCGAATGTTTGCTGGCCCCCCAAAACCGTCGTTCCTCCTTCTCAGGTCCCGGTTGGACTCTCCGCTCCTTATCAACGGGGCCCTGTTGCGTCACGACGCACCATTAATGTTCATTGGCTGTTCCGCAGCCGAACTGTTTGGCTATACTTTTACCGACCGGTCTGAGAGAGAAGCAGCCCCTCTGCCTCCGTTACGCACGGACCACCGGACACCGACCTCTCGTATATCAATGTGTGCGGAGCAGCAGTTTTTAAAAGGTTTCATTTTAAAGGAGGCGAAGAAGAGTGCAGGACGAGAGAGAGAGTGTCAGCCGTCAGAGGTGTTGGAGCTGTCTGTCTCTCTGTGCGCACTGAGCAGGTCTGCTGGGACCTTTACTCCCGTGACGCGCAGAGCGGTTTCTACACAGCAGCCGCGCACTGTTGCTGCTCTCAGCCTCTCCATGGCACCGGGAGGCTCTGCTCAGGAGTAAAGTGCACCAAGTTACCCAGAGCAGAAAATGAAGAAGCTAATCAGAATTGTTTTTCTTTTTTAAACCTGATTTCTTTGGTTATATTTTTTTTGTTTTGTGTATCTTTTTAATTTCACAACAAAACAAAAAAGAATCCTTAAAAATAAATGGAAACAACACTTTAAAAAAAAAAAAAAAATAATAATAAATGTGAAGGTAGTTTCTCATAACCTGTATCCACAACTTTCACTTTTATTATTTCTTTTCACGTTTGGCCTTTAGTGAATGTGGAAGGTGTGAATGGGGCTTATTTCGTCTCTGCACTCACACAAACTACGCTTTGTTTTTGGTAAATAATGCTTGAGGATAGGAAAGCAAGGCCTTTAAAGTGTCACACGTAGATGTCAGAGTTCTCCAGAGATATTCAGACCAAATCAAGAAAAATTACATGAGAATAAGAAAGTCTAAAAATGAATAGAAAGCTATGATTAAGGGGAATAGTGTGTTTAAACCCAGAGTTAATGTCATTGTTTAACTTCATGCGTAAAATCATTCTGGCACCACTGAGTGTCATTTCTACATTTTATCATCCTTGATGTGATATTTCTTTTTTATGTATTTATTTCTTGGAAAGGCTTTCCTCTCCCATGAGCTCCAGTCTGTCATTGATGTCATGCGTAACTCAGCGGCTTCATGCCTTTTTATTTCCACCGCGTACAGCGCGAGCAGTTTGCCTCAGCAGCGTGACGCGCTAACGGATCCCGGATCCGCTCATTCTAATTAGCTCTCCGCTCTTAATTGGGAGGGGAAAGTGGACTCCGTCATCAGAGGAAGTGTTTGAAGACCGAAAGGAGAGGTTTGATCTTGCACACAAAAGACGGTGGTTACAGCAGTGTGGGAGAAAATTACACGTTATCACATCACCGACTCTGGGTTTTTGTTGTTTGAAAGTGGAGTCAATTCAAGCAGAAAATAAATGATTAAAAACGAAATCCATCCGGTCATTTAACCTCCTGACTTCTTATATTTTAAAACAGTATTTCAGATTTGGATTCATGCGCTTAAACAACATCAGAATAAAAACAATGTTGTGTTCCTTGATATTTATAATTCCTTTTATTTTAAAATACCTGTCCTGCCCCCTCCCGCGCCTAACAGCCCGCGTTTAGACTATTGTGAAGTTTTATAGCACAAATATGATGTTAAGCTCCTAAATCCCTATGCAAATCAGCTCCTCTGTAATACCCTTAATTGAATACATGCATATTTATCATCTGCGTTTTCTCTCTGCTATAACGCAGGCTTTATACATTAAACATAGCGGCAGCGGGCATGTCTGCGGGCGTGTATGAAATATAATATGAGGTGGTAGTGTAAGATTAGAAGAAGGAAAAAAATATCAGTTTGTATGTATTTGTATCAGAGGCAGCCTGGCTCGTTTCTCTTATTTCATTAACTGAGAATGAAGCCAAAGAACACGTTTACACAGATTTTTGAGAGAAGATTTATGCAAATATAAGCCGAGCTCTGCATGCATAGCTATATGTGATGAGTATTCAGTGATGTGTATTCACAATATTCTCAGCAGAGGAGGAGAAAACTTACAATATGATAGCTAATTAACAACAGTACCACGCGCATTAAGAAGGCAGAGCTGCGCAGCTTCAAATAGTCCCAATATTTAATTCATCCATGGTACATTTATTTAAAAAGGTAAAACTGAATTAATTACAGTTCAGCCAACACATCCTGCTCCCCTCTCCCTCCCCCCCCCCCCCCCCTCTCTCTCTCTCTCTCTCTCACATACACACACACACACACACTCACACACACTTTTTCTTTTTTAAACGTGGGGGCAGTAGACTCACATCTTCAATGCTGGGAGATACAAAGATGCAATGAGGAGATTTAAAAGGCAAACACCAGGCAGTCACAGGTTTATTGTAAGGAAGCTTGTATTTCATATTTTACACATATAAATGTATCTGTTTGATGGCTGACTTACAATATGATTCACACAAGGCGACCTCATGGAGATGGTCAGCAATTAAAAGTCGAGTTTCTCTGAAACAGAAGGTAAAAACTTCTCTCCTCTGAATTCTCTGCTCATCAGAAGTTTTGACTGAGTGAAGAGTTGGTCTGGTTAATTGTAGAAACAAAAATGAAAAGAGAAGCAGACCTAGGTTCTGCATGAGATCATTATGCAGATAGGTGTACATTAATTTGATGTAGTGTTGAAGTTTGGTTGAAATAATTAAACACAGCTAAAGGTTGTTAATAAATCAGTCATGGTATTACAGTAAGAGTGACAGTGGAGTCTTTATTCCTGATGGCTGCAGAGGAGCTTCAAATAAGTTTGGACAATATGACATTATTACACAAATATTTTACATAATTGATAATAATTTGATTTGATGAGATTTTCTTGTTCACAGCATGGATGATTGGCCACGTTCACTTTATATGTCTATATAGATATAGAAATATAGATATATGTATATATCATAGCCTATATATTTGATGATTTTTATTTTTTCACAGCATGGATTATTGGGCACTATCCCATATGTATAGATATAGATATCTATATTTCAATAGATAGATAGGCTACATAAAGATATATAGATATCTATCTGTGTTATATCTATATGTGTATAGATATAACACTTTATCTAGGTATCTATATATCTACATATCTAAACATAAAAACATATACATAGATGTAGATAAATCTACATCTATATATTTATATATTTTTCTATATATTTATTGCTGTTATAATTTCCCACTTCTATTGAACAAAAATCTAAATTTGACTTTTCTCCAATGAAGATGAAAAAATACTCAAAAAACCCTGAAACAGACGAAAGTGACTGTTAGCTGCTGAAACTCTTCCTGATATGAAGGAAATAAAAACTCAGTCAGTGACTGCAGACAAACATTTAAAGAGTGCTGATAAAAGTATTTTAAAGTACGACCTAAAATCAGGCCTCTGTTTCCCCAAAGCTGCAAAAACAAGTTTGAACAACTGATCCTGATAACCGCTGTGGAACTAATAAACAGTGTGTGTGAGTGTGTGTGTGTGTGTGTGTGTGTGTGTGTGTGTGTGTGTGTGTGTGTGTGTGTGTGTGTGTGTGTGTGTGTGTGTGTGTGTCAGGGGGGTGGTGTTGCTGCTTGTCGACGACTAAAACGCTGATGCAGCTCCACTGATTACTCCTTGTCCTGTAATGATTTCCAAACAGGGCGTCCATCAATAACACAAATCTGCATTTCTCAGAAAAACATCACCCTCGTCAGGCTGCTGGCATCTTTTTGATCTCTCCCGTTTTTTAATTGTATTCTGCATAAAGGTAGAGGGGAGGTGTGGGGTGCGTTGCCTTTAATGGGATGCTGCTGTGGAAGTGGGGAGTGGGTTACACGTTCTCTGAGGAGAGCTCGGCTGTAATTAAGAAAAAAGGGAACAAAGCAGAGGAGACTAAAAACACATGAAAGGCAGAAAGCAGATCACCTAATCACTGTACGTTCACTGCTCACACACATGTAAACACACACTCCTAGTGCACGTATGAGATTCACTGGTGAGCAGGAACACAGAGAGGGTCAGACAGCACACCTGAGCCTCTCACATGACACTCTCCTCTATCCACTGTGGACAAATCACACGTCATGTCACCAGCAGTTTCATTTGAATGGAGACAAACTCCTCATGCCAGCAGTATGAGCATGCACCAATAGGATGCACCATTTGACTCTAAAACGCCACGTCTTCTTACCTTGTGTGAATTGTTAATTTCTGGCTTTACAACTCTAAATACAAGCCAAAACACTCTTTTGTTTCTGTGGTCCTTCCTCCAAATATTCCAGGTCACACTTCTGCTTCTGACACATTTCTGACCTGATTGGTAAACAAAGTTTCACGCACCGATATAACCAGTGAGAGGCTTGAGCTAATGGAAGTATTTGACATCGGTATCCGTCCTCCTCAGCAACTCCAACAACAAGAATGAGAAAACTTTGTCAGTCTGTTTGGTCATGTTTCTCGAAAAGCAATGCAAGATTCAGTTTTTTTTCTTCCAATTCCAGCTCAAGAATTTACTTCATCCACTTCAATATCTCAACTGAGACACAAAATGTTCCCGACCTCCGAGTCCTGCCAGGAGGAACAAAATCACAATCAGGATTATGATTTTTTTTTTTTTTTATCTAACCCTGTTTTTTATGTTTGTGCAAAGTCTGTTTCCAAGATTGGACAAACAATCTAGAGAATACACAAGTGAGTGAAACTGCACAGGAACACAACTGGAAACATAGAAAAAAAGAAGAAGAAATAGAAACACACTGAAGGTGCAGCGCTCCTGAAAAGGGTTTTCATACTTGTTTTGGAAAATATTATAAGAACCACAGTCACACTCTCTGCCCCCTTCCTCTCTCTCTCCTCATTTCCACTCAGATATGTAAAGAAAGGTGTGTTTCAACAGAAAACCTCCTGAATGTCCTTTAATGGACTGAAGAACAGCACCGTGTTTGGCTCATTTGACTGAGTTCTATTGGATTTATGTTTTGTAACCTCAGCATTG